AATTCAATGCAAAGAACCTCACAGTTCTGCTGAGATGCATTACCAATGTGATGGGAGCTTTGCTGTGTCTCTACCCCTCACTGACTGGGCAATAATTCCCTGGTAAAATGCACTATCTCCACCTGACTGAACACCAGCAGTGTTCTCACTTCCCCTCCTTCAGTCAGCCCAGCTCAGGAAGGGTTGAACTGTTCAGAGTAAGAAAGACTAAGAAAGCTTCTGGGGTGGCTTGCAATTATAGCACCATGTTAGGGTTTTATTTTTGGTAGTACTATTCAAAGCACACTCACAGTAGCATAATAAAAATTGATATTAATTCAGTAATAAGTGAGACCTGGAGGGATTAATACCCAGATGAGAAGTGTGACAGCATGAAGTCAGCCTGAAGCCACAACCACCCCAGCTAGCTACTCACTTTGGGAGGAAATACCTCATGTGATCATTATTGCTGTTAGAATCTGTTTGGAAGTTTATTCAGAAGGAAAACAAACATCTTTCTCACATGGCTTTAAATCCCCCAAGTGCTACCAAAATGAATTTTTTGATTACCACCACAGCTCTTAGATTTCTTCTCGAAAATTTATCCTCAGAAAGGGATGCCATCTTTCTCTCTCTATCTTCCTTCTGTACACACATCAACCTGCAATAAGCTTTAATAACCATGCTGGGTTTGGGGTTAAATGCACGACATTTTCATTGCATGAGAGAAATAATGAAAGGAGGGATGGCTAAGTACTTGAGCTGGGTTTCACTCCAGATACTAAGAAAAGCAAACACTCATGCCAACAAATATAAACCCTCACAACTTGAGAAAATAATACCTTCTTGAACCTCAAGGTGCAGCAATCACACATTTGTCCTCCTCTTGGAACTGGAGCTGACTAGAACAGGTCACAGAAATTGCATCACAACACACAGCTAATGATGCTTAAATGGGTTAAAGAAATAACAACTGAATCCTCCCTTTAAAGGTTAATTGTAGACCTGCCAGCTGAGTGACCTACATTTGCCTGGTCAAAGCCATCTGTGAGAGGGGGCAAAAGAAATACTTTCAGAAAGGAAATTCTGGTTTGACATTAAAAGATAGACTCTTCCTTTCCATTGCTCACGGGCCTAGAAAAGCAGACTGAGCCTATCCAGGGTACACAGCAGCACAGCAGACTTGCACGTCAGCTGCTGGCAGCACAATAAAGACCACAGAGCTACAGCCATGTGAGAAGTCGATGATTTTTGGATTATTTCCTCAGTGCAAATCTTTCCTCTCATTCCTTTTCCAAATACAAAAATAAAAAGCTTTAGGGAAGCACTTTCCTTGTTAACATATTTCTTTAAACTTGCCCTGTTTATGCAAGAATGCTTTAGTTATTTTATTATTCTGGTGATAACTCTATTTTTTTTCTTTCTGCTCCTAAGAACCAGATACAAGGTGCACATCGTGCTTACAGATGTGGACTCAGAAGTTTTGCCACTCCACCACGAAAGCCACTTGCTTTTCAACAGAGAGAGAGAAGGTGGCAGCTGTAAGCATCCTATAAGTTATATGCAATTGTGGTTCTGTCTTCTCTATCCCCAAAACAGAGAATAAGAAATACTAAACACTAGCCCATGAATGATATTTCCTTTCAAGATGTGTTTTCTCTCTTTAAGCATGTTATCCTTTTGCATGCCCTTATTACTTTTCCATGTGTGCCTCTCTATAAAGATATCTAAACGCTTCAATTTTGTCTAAATGCTGTGATATTTTTTCACTGTCTCCTCATTCCTGTTTGTTCTTATTGTATGGTATGCCCCAGGCATTTTAGCCAGGTGCAAAACAGAAAAAAAAAAAGGCTGTGCTAATGGGAACTCAACTCTTGAAGACTTGGAAATGATCCCTGTCTTTGCCAGACATCACAGAGAACCATCAGCTTTTAGTGTTTCCATACTCCTTCCAGTGACTGACCATCATTTCTGATGCACTGAAACTTTTCAAACTAGGCTTCAAATCGTAGGTACCTCAAATCTCTCTTTCCCTGAGCTTCAAGTGCAGCCCTGGTTCCCTAATGCCTAACTGAACTAACTTCCAAAAGCTGAAAATGTGAATATCCTCTTCAAAGTCAAGGTGTATCAAATTTTATGATATCTAAATCATATTCTGAATTTTGATTAAAAAAAAGTTGAGCAGTTCTTTGTCAGCTGCCTGGAAGCAGGCAGAGAACTTTTCCACTTGCAGCTCAATGATACAAACACACTGGGCTGCTGGAGAGGATTGCTGTTGCTGTCAAACCTATTTGCCTTGGAATCCATCCAGTTTCATTCTACCATGTTATCAACGTGAGCTTAATCTCAGTCACAAATGTCCATTCCTCTTTTATTGCTTTATGGAAGTCTGCTAAAATTACAGCTTTTATATAAAGTCCAGCACGGTAAATAGAGATACCCCAAAAAGTTTCCACTGACTGTACAATTTGTGAAAACAGAGGTGTTATTTTTTTAATAGCCTGACACGAATTTCCAGGCTCATCCATTTAGTGAACACTGAACACTGTTCTACAGTATAAAAATCATGTCTAGAGTAACTCACATTTTGAAATCCATTTTCCATCTATTTGATAGGAACACTAATCTCCCTTGTAAAGAAAGTTTTTACTGGGAATTTTGCAAACTAAGGAAAACTATCAGGTTTGTCATTCTAATAATTCCATTTCCTACTAACATTTTTTGTTCTCATTCTGTTTTTACAGTCACCACCAAAGAATCTGAAAGTTATGCAATAAGACAGGCTTTAAAGCCACCAGGGACCTGCTAACACAAGATGGAAACAACTTATTATGCAAGTAAGATTAAAACACTGACCTTGAGTCCTCAGCCTTTTGCCAAGGGGCAGTGTGTGTGTGGGGGGGTGGAAAATCAACTGTGGTACAGAAGCTTGCACTGTGCTTAGGAAATCACAAGAATTTTCAAAAGCAAAGGCCTCCATCATATAAGAAAGTGGAGACACAACAGATATTATGATCATTTTAATATTTCACAGGCAAGGCATCTATTAGGAAATAAGACAGCTTCACTTCTGCACACAGGCAGTATCATTTTCTGCTCATCATCCTCTCACATTGCAGCCAATCCTGCAGTGATTGTTCCAAACCATCCCAGTCTCTGCTGGCCTGCAGAGGCCACCCCAGCAGCAAGGGCCAGCCTGTGGGGATGGGAGCCCAGCTGTGCCAGCAGCCTGGCAGCAGGGCTGCTGCAGGGGCCAGGCCAGCTGGGATTCCCTTGGACACAGAGGGTGCCAAGGGCTGGAGCAAACAGGCTCCAGATGCCTTTGTGCTCACAGGGCAAGGCCAGGCCCCAGGATTAGCAGTGACCCAGCTATGTCCTACAACCTGGGGCTGTCACACTGCACAGCCCAGAACAGAGGTGCTTTATAGGAAATTATTAAGTAGGAAAACACAAGACAGAAAATATGACTTTTGCCTCAGTGCAGCCGTGTTAACACTCCTTGTCCCTGTCTCTGGCATTCCCTGCACTTCCCTAAGATCATCAGTGCCATGTTGGATTTATATCAACAGGCCCAGGCCATCATTTGCACAGGTTTGATAGACAAAGCAGTAAAAAAGGAAATGAGCAACAGTTGGGAAGATCAGCATCTGAACAGCTGGTTCTGCTGCTTGAAAGTTATGCTTCACTGAGGCAAACAAGAGACTAATAGGTTAATTCTATTTTCAACTATTCTTTTAGATGGAGAGAGGTTCTTGCAGGGGCTGAGAATGTCTTTATCAGCAGCAACAGAGTTCTACTGTCTTACTGCAGTCAGGCTGGAATACTGCCTCAAGGTAACACTCTTTTTTATGTTGTTTGGGGCAGCAACATGGCTTTGAAGAGGTGATTACAGCTGACTGCATCACTAGGAATCTTAAAGAAACAGAAGATATGAAGGAAGGTTTCTTTGGTTATGGCTTTTCGGCGCTTTTTGTTTGACTTGGGTTGGATTTTTTGTGAACTACCCCAAAAAACTTCTCTTCTTGCGTCTCCCAGAAGAGAGCTGAGAGGGAAAGAACCAGCAAACTGCTGGAATACACATTCAGAGGAAAGACAGACAGAATAGAGACATTTCAGGAGCGCTCCATCCCAGGGGATCTCCATGCCTGTTCTGCTCAGCTTCCAAACTGGAAACACATCTATTTTCCTTCCATATGTACATTAAAAAACTCTGATAGATTGGTATCTAAGAAGATAAAAAAGTGTTTCCTCAGAAATGGGAGAATTCGTTGGAATTGCTTGCAACAGCACAGTTCCACTCAGCCTTAAAGACTGAGCAACTGTTATTACAAAATTAATATAAACATATACAGTGTTTAAAATATTCTGTGTATTAAATAATTTTGTTTCTTTCTTCGAACAGGAAATTTTGCTAAAAGAGGTAGTAGAAAGAAAAAAAGCAAAAAAAAGAGAAAATAAAAAAGGTAATAAATAGAAATTCTTTGGAAAAATACAAAACAAACCTAGAGTTTTGAGTAGGAAAAAAGCGAACAGACAGTTGGTCATCCTTTAGGAAAAAAAGGTTAGATTAATCTTTTTTTCAACCAATTAAAATCAGACTGGCTGTGGAAGTTAAGAATACAATTATAGAGCTGTTATTTGTTCTGATTTTTATTATTACGGTGAAGATGGAAATGTCAAATGAGAATGTGGCAGAAAAAGGAAAAATCTCTCAATGAATCATAACGCAAAAGGGGAATAAGACAAAGGGGAATGAGGTAATCTGCTTAGTACAATTATAGAAGAATTATATGTGTTCTTGGGTATTATCATATCTATAGTCATATATATATATATGTATATATAATCATATAGTCATGAGGGAGGACAGCCTTCCACAGAAGATGGTAAATGCTGCAAAAATCAGTCTCAATCTTTAATAACTTTACCGTAACTATTAAAAAATATCAACTCTAATCTGCCATGTCATTCTGAAAAAACATCACTCCCACTGGGAATGCCGTGTGTGCACAGACACGCACCTCTTTTCCGCCTGGGCGCTGTGCCGCTGGGTCTGGGAGTGCTGCTGGCTCTGGGAGTGCTGCTGGTTCTGGGAATGCTGCTGGCTCTGGGAGTGCTGCTGGCTCTGGGAGTGCCGGCTGCCCCTCGGTGTCCCCCTGCCCCCGTGGCTGCTGTTCCGGCCCCCGGCAGGGGCAGGGGCACGAAGCCCAGCCCAAAGCTGCTCCTCGTTCCTGTGGAGCGGCACGGATGTGCGGATGGCAGAAATGACGTGGCCGGGATAGGCAGAGAGCGAGTCCTCGTGGTGGGAGCTGTGGTGAGTCCTGTCCGAGGCCGGGAACTGCCGCCCCGGGCGCCGGTACCCCCGATCCCGCTCCCGGTAATAGGCGGGGAGGCAGGGCCGGGTCTGCTCCATCACACCTCCACTGCAGCTCCGGGAGCAGGCAGACCAGGGGCCCCAGTTGCCCCACATGCCTGGGATTCCTGCACTGCTGTCCTCAGATGCATCTCCTTGCTCTTCTATCCTCTGGGGAACCTGCAGACACAACACATGGATTTAGGAATTAGAATTCACGCTGTAACACGAGGAGAGCACTAATACCCTTGTCCAGCCATTCACTCTGCAGTCCTAAATGAAGTGGGATGACATAGGAAGTAGCATCTCTCATTCCCAGCCTGCCAGAGGATGGCCTGTCCTGCCAGTATAGGAGGAGGTTTCCTACAGCCATCAACCATTCAGATAAAAAGTCTGGGCGGGTCATTTTTTTGGACTATCTGGATAGAAACAGTTTTTCTTTAGTTCTCAGCAATGGAAAGCACTGCGTGATGTAAAGCTTAGAAATGTGGAGACTGAAAACTGTTGTCATAATAGCAAAAGCAGGAAATAAGGTTGGTTTTGGTGATGAAATAGGGTCAACAGACACTGGCTGCTCTCTCCCACTCTGATGCCTCCAACAATGGAGATTGCTAGTGGTTGCAACACTATTTCAGGAACTCCCACTTAATGTGGAACTTTTTTATGAAAGCAATAATATAAGAGGACAGGCTGATTTCCAACCAACCAAAAATGCTCCTATAGTTAACTCTCACATTACCACTTTTCCCCTGGTCTCCATATTATCACTTCAAGAGAAAGAGCTGTTCAAGATGACCCACCAAATCCTACATTCACAGAAACTCCCATCAAACTCAATAAAAGACAGGACAAATTGTTGGTCTCTGGTGTTCAGTGCCACTTAGTCCATTCAGCAGCACAAGGAAAGTGAAAGAAGGACCCCTCAAAGAGAGGGGTCCTCTTGTGAAGGAAGCTGGGGAGCATTAGGAAGGACAGGGTCTGTTACCACGAGGAGAGTTAACCCTTCAAGCTGTGGCCAAATATTTCAACATCCTGACCTTGTGGTTGGAAAGATATCAGCGCAGCTAAGAAGTTACAACTACCCATCCCCATCTCCCTGTGGATTTGTGGCCCAAATTTACCCATTCTTGGAGCTAGATATAGTCAGGATTTCTCAGAGTTTGCACTGGGCAAAGAACTCAACTTTGTCACACAGAAATTAGATGTATTTTCATTTGCTTCCCTTGACCAACTGGCTGAATCACAAGTTTTCAAAGCAGGTTTCCAATGTCTGTTTCTCACAATTATTAATATGCAGAACATCCTTTTAAAATGAGCATCCTTTAAATAGTTTATTTATATTCTGAGCAACCTTTGTACCAACAAGCACACACACATATCAATTCATTTGGGAGACAAAAAGAAGGCACTGTCCACAAACAAATGCTTGCCATACCTCTCCAGAGCTATTTCAGTGTGTAGCTACCTCAAAATGAGCTTTGTCTGTCTATGTGTCACTTCTGCCCCCTTCAAAGGATGAGAACCTAAGCATGTAACTTCCAGCAATAATTGTATAATAGCAAAAGATTAACATCTACACACTTTGCCTCCAGTCACGGATCCCACATGAGGTTGGTAACTGAGCTGCACCCCACCTACGGCAGGGAGCTCCCATTCCTCACCCCACCTACGGCAGGGAGCTCCCATTCCTCACCCCACCTACGGCAGGGAGCTCCCATTCCTCACCCCACCTAGGGCAGGGAGCTCCCATTCCTCATCCCACCTAGGGCAGGGAGCTCCCATTCCTCACCCCACCTAGGGCAGGGAGCTCCCATTCCTCATCCCACCTAGGGCAAGGAGCTCCCATTCCTCATCCCACCTATGGCAGGGAGCTCCCATTCCTCTCTCACCCCACCTAGGGCAGGGAGCTCCCATTCCTCATCCCACCTAGGGCAAGGAGCTCCCATTCCTCCCTCACCCCACCTAGGGCAGGGAGCTCCCATTCCTCATCCCGTGGCTGGGAACACGGCAGGCTGGAGGGGAATGTGGTTTGCAAACATGGGTTGGCCTGAGTGTTACAATCCAACGAGCCAAGCCAGCCCAGGGTTTGTGGTGCTGATGTGTAACAGGCAGTTGTGGTCTGTGTAATCTGAAACATTGCCCCGCTCCGAGGCTGCTCTCACACTTTCATCACCAACCACAGAAGAAACTGCATTTAATTATAACTTCTGAATAACAAAAAGCATCTGCACCAGTGTGATATGTTACCCATTTCTCCCATGTAATTTGAAAACAGGAGCAGATGTCTCTGTATTTAATATGTCTTTTTTTCCTGTGGGTACCCCATTTGGCATCAACCTGTACAACCTAATACTGCACAATGTCAAAATTATGAATAACATGCAACAAGGTCTTGATTTCTGGCTGTTACATTTGCTCTTATATCCAGTAACAGAACACCACTGGCTTACAATCTGACCAACTAAACAAGCTATTCTTCAGTTTGTGATTTTTTACAGTAAATATTCACTGCTCATACTTACACTGCACATTAATGTGGTTTTCCCTCAGATATAAAATGGGAACAGCTACACACAGGAACACTATCTGGTCTGAACCCACTCTGAAGCAAAATTTACTTATTATAAAACCAGCAGTCCTTTGTAATCAAACAAATGATGTTTCACTTGTTTAGACTATTTCTTAATCATTTCTATAATGGTTCAGTACACCTGTTTTTTTAAAATGCCAAAGACACTCATGCAGGGAACAACTAAAAACCATTAGTCTGTAAGATAACTCAAGTTACCACTAACATAAGAAATATGTCATTATACAGAAACAGAAAGTGATATAAAAGTGACAAGTGTCAACTTGCTGCAGAGAGAACTTTCTGGCTGCCAAACTTCACTGCAGCAAGAATTGGTTCAGATAAAATGATACTTTATATGACTGAAGGCAACCTAAAGTAATTTCACATCCTTTAACCTTCACAGTAAAAGAGGTCTAGACATGGTACAAAAAGGTTTAATCTAGCTAATTATGTAAGAACATAACAATAAAACTAATAAAAAAGTAATATTATAATGTCTTGTACTGATGTACAAACTCATCAGTACTACTTAGCTATAAGATGACAAAATTCTGAGATGGGAATTTTTGGTAGCAAATCAGGTTATGCACTTTTATTTTTAATGAAGGTCCCTGTTTTCTTACTTTAAGATGTGGGCTACAGATGAATCTTTAGAGGACATGACGTGATTAATGGTATAATCTACACAGCAAATCTACTATGAAAGACTGAATAAATTGAAGCTGCTCGGATTTAGGAATGGAAAACAGAGGGGACAATAATGAGTCTTCCAAACATTTAACATAAATAAATACAAGGAGCTGTTCCTTTTCTCTTTGCAGCAAACTGTTCTTGTCTGTGGTCAACACACAACAGTGGACTCAAAGTTTACCAAAGGTGACCTAAATTAGCCAGTAAGGAAAACTACTTCAGCAGAAAGGCAAACAAAGCAGGGGAACAGATTGCCTGAGGAGATCCTGGCAGCACTGAGGCCAATCCCAAAGCTCTGCCAGGCAAAGCCCTTCCACAGGACTCACAGGTCACTTCCCTTCCTTTGGTCCTGGGATTTCCAAGTTACTCTGTAGCCAGTAACAAATTCCACCACAGCCCTACGGTACAGCCAAGAAATTCCAGGTAGCTACAGGAGACAGCTCAAGTATTTCAGAACATTTCAGAAACACCATATATTCAGAGACTCCTGACACTAAGTCCCTCTTCCTCTTGCTTTAAAAACTACCCATTACAAGCACACTTTCTGAAGGGAAGAGTTTGAGCCTGCACTGGGGAACAAGTGAAACACAAACTGAACTTCTCTTGCCAAGTTAACTAATTTCTTTAATAGAATCACATAGCCTGCAAAAAGGGAGAGATAACTAACCCATTTAATCTACTTTCCCATAATTCATGACCAATCCCTTCTCTGGGTGACCTATTAATATTCATTCTAACTATAAATGCACCATCAAAAAGATTTCTATCTACTGCAAATTAATCAACAACCAAACATTTTGCTCTACAAACTCAATTTATTTTCCCCCTTAGTTTCCCCCCTTTCTTTCTTCCCTCTATACATTTCAGTTATTTGGCAGGACAAGATTTGTAAGTGGAAGCAACACATTTCACTGTGTGCAGCTGTACAATAAACAATGCAAAGAAAAGTAAGAGAAGCTCCCAGTTGTGCAAGTGCTTGCAATTCCTACACCTGCACTAACTCCTATTAACCTGCTGTCAAAAATTCTTTATAATGATTGTTATGCACCAAGTATCTTCCAGCCTGCCACCTTTCCAACAGTAAGTGGCAAACTGAATCAAGGCAGGATTTTTAGCAGGGTAGTTGCAGTGTCACCCCTTCCTTTACACATCAGCTCTGCATCCCCTTCTGGTTTTCCCCCAGTCTTCTTGTATTTTGCTACTTTTCCACACAGGAGCTGCATTACATCCAGGTTTTATTCTAAGAGCTTGTTGGGGTTTTTTTTTGCAAAAACACACTGAATTAAACATGCTGCCAGTAGGCTGACGTAGACAACATTTTAAATAGAAAACCAGTTTATCTCAAATTCCTGTAATTCAGCACTCACTCTGATTCCTGAATCAAAAATTGCAGCAAAAATTAAAAGAACACTAACTGTAGAAATGCAGTGCAAATTTCTAATACTGTCTCTGCCAGAATCTAGAAATAAGATCCACATCCTGGGATTTCAGCAGCAGTTGTTGTAACCATACTATGCAAGAATGTCCCCGAAGAGGAAACGTCACTTGAACTGAAAGCCACAAATACTTAAAACTGAAGTTGTTGTACAGGAGCACAATAGCAGAGACTGCAATACTGACCTGACAAACACTAATTTTAAATACTGTAGGATACTTCATCCATTAAACCACAGCTTACATACAAATTAACTGTTCAGAAAAGCAGGGGGGACAAGTGGATGAATCAGAGGCCCATCTACAGTATAGTACAGAACAGTGCTATGTTTCTGACTGTGTGGAACAAGCAAAGATTTAGGGAACAGTGTAAGAACCAGGGCACATTCAGAGACATCCACAGACCCCCTGCTTCCAGCTAATCACTAATTTCAGGGCTTCCTTCAGCTAAACACCATATTGCAATTCTTTTTCATAACCACCA